TCATAAGTTTACATACTAACACCACTGGCACAAATTTCTTATAAAACTTAATCTTTAGTTATGTATTGAAACTGCTAGGTTTGGACTAATGATGAACTAAGTGTGATTTCTCTATTATTTTTCCAGGATCACATTAATGCATACAAATCCAACTTATACTGTAATATTCAGTAAACCAGAATTATTTTTCTAATTTCACAAAATCATTTAGCAAAGTAAAACTCACAGGCTGTTGTTTTCGAGCCATCATTTGTGTTTATGGTTTTATGGTTAAAGCTACAGTGTGTAATAATTACAGGGATATACAGTCAGAAATGTAATATATTATACATAACTATGTTATTTATCATCATCTACGAGCTCAGCCTCTTAACCTTAATATTTGCATTGACTTAGAATTCGTTATTTATAATTACATAGGAGCGGGTCTCGCAGCCATGGAGGCAGACATCTTTGCGCTACGGCAGCGCAGAGTCAACAAACTAGTTATTGCGAGATCGCCCATTACGCTCGAAAGTAACTACGGCAAGTTGAGAGAGATGAACTGAAATCTATACCCTACACAGACTAATGAAATACTATCTGTAAAATTATCTATGTAAACAAACCTCATCACTTGAGAAGGTAGGTGATGCGGACGTCGTGGAAGACATTTTGTCCCGTAACGCTCGCCGTACTGTTGGGGGGGAGAAGCGGTGGGGGGGAGATGTTCATGTTGCTGCGGTCTGCAGTCTGGACGTTAGATGTCGCTGAAAATTACACACTGTAGCTTTAAGCTAATGGCAATATCAAATGTATAAGTAGAATCTCCAATCAGATTACTAAAAACATTTTCTGTAAAGAAATGTGGATTTAATAATAAATGTTTTGTATTTTTTACATTTAAGGTTATTGTTTTCAAAGGGCAGTTTTTATCCCACAAAATGTCCTCAGAAGCACTTATATTCTAATCTTTTTTTAATATAAAAAAACAAACACTCTCTGTAGCCATCCACGTTCTGCTTTCTTGGTCTGCACCTTCAAAGTGAATGGTGAGGTTTAATTTTTTGGTAACTTGTGTCTAACACCCTTCCCTCCATTGATTGTGTTCAGCAGTAGTATTGGGAGAATAAAAACGAAGCGTTATAGAGAATTAATCATCACGTCACAAAATACTAGGCTAATTTCAATGCATGAGAGAGTTTCTTTTTATGAACAATAAAAGACAAGTGAAACGCAATAATGAAAAAACATAATGAAAAATAATGACTTTTCTTTATAGACTACAGTAAACATATTCTGGTTCTGTGCAAATAACAAACCTTAGAAAAAAAGTTTTACTTTTACTTACTCCACTTGGTTAAACCTTTTCATGTTTGCTACCTTTAACTGTGATGTAGAACATGGCAGTGGAACAGGAATAAGCATTGGTGTATTATTTTTGTATATATATTTATTTTTTTTGCTGCGCTCCAATTAGCTCTGAGGTCAGAACTTGGATTTGGAATTGCATCAAACTCAACTATCTCATACTCCAGTTCCGAGTTCAAAACCAATGAAATGTGCTTATTTATATTCTCAGTGACCAGGCTAACTGCTGTCAGCAAACAAGTAGATAACACTGAATTTTTATCTGTATTGTATTTATTATCGAACAATGTAATTATATCTTCACTGAAAGGGGGCAACATAGTGCTGTGAGTGTGACAAATTCATTGTTAGAAGATGGAATGAAAAGTTTATGTTTGTTTTGTTTATTTTTGATTTCCTTATCATTTAGCCAAATGCAGAGTAGACATGTTTGCTGATGAGCAAGAGACTGATATGTCTTTGAAATTCCCACTTGGGACTCCATTATGCTATTGCAATATATGGAAAATTTAACACTGTGAAATACAGATTTTCTCTTTTTTACTTTATGCATTTTATCCTTTTTTTAAGGCCTCCTTTTATCTAAATCATTGCATCAGGCTTCAATCTCTTCTTCTGTTGAGCTGCTAAAGAAGTCCAGGTTCCTTTTGAATGTCCACGGTTGACCCAAGCCTCCATGGGTCCTAAGCGAAACCTGATTTTGGGCCTCTCTATTTCTGCTTATAGTATTGATCGAATGGTCAGTTCACTTACACACCTTCTATAAACTCATTGCAGCCCAGTGCTGTTTACAGTCTCCTAATTACTTGCAACGTCTACTGTTAGTGTCCTTCTGTTCCAACTGCAAAAAAACAAAATGCAAAAAATAAAATTCTGTGCAAAACCCACCACACAAACTAATAAAAATGCTTTGATGAATAAAAATAATTAAATAATAATTGTAATAAGACAAAATAATAATTAAATAATTAAAAAAGACAAAATAGTAAGCATTTTGTTAAATAATGTAAATAAACTTTCCTGAAACTCTGTAGAAATGTAATGATACTTAAAGTTGAATAATTAGCTCTTAAAATTTTGTGGATGTGTGTAACTATGTGCAAGAGCTCTATCTGAAAACATAAAATATCTATACTCATGTTTGACTTTTTTATGTTTTGTTGTTTTTTCTCTATAATCCCCAAACTCCATAAAGCTTGTGCTTCTGGGCTTTTCCTTTTGTAAAATCATTGATGACATCAGCGATATGATAGCCAACTTTGATTTTGATGCCAATCACTGCCAGCCCACTCGATCATTCTGCTATCATGGAAGATCTTAGGTAGCTCTGTATATTCATTTGATTTTGGAAATGATGTGCTCTGCAGATGCAACGCTCACAAGGAGAGAACATTCTCAGAGTTTCCTGAAGATTTAGGCAGAACTCAGATCTAATTTTAGGAGAGGCAAGTAAGCAAATGATGTCCTCTCTCCTGTGCATTAGGATGTCTGGAAAGTTTCCATCTCTAAAGCCTGTGTACTCCCATCACTATCCGCCTGTCCTCCAAATGTAAGCTTGTCTTGGAAAACTTTAAACTTGTTCTTCATCTATGTCAATCTTGCCCAAATAGTAACCTTTTATAGCTAATCTTTCATTGTATGTACTAGTAAGGATTTCTATATGATAAAATAAATATTGGTGAAAAAAAATCCATTATATTTATAAAGAAATTGTGTATTTGTGTTACCATAATTCAATCGAAATCCTTACACATGCACAAAAGCCCAAACGGTCAATTGCTCTCAGGGGTTTTCTAGATGTCCTGCAAGCTTAAACAGTCACTTAGGTCACTTATGCAGGGGATCAGTCCTGTGTCTATAGGGTTTATATCAGGAGCTTTTATTTAATAAATGACATGGTAACATCAATCGAGGGCCTGCTAAGTGGAACAGTGGGTAGCACTGCTGCCTTGCAGCAAGAAAGCTGCAAGGCAGCAGTGCTACCCACACTCCATGCAGAAAGCTGTGGGTCTTTCTGCATGGAGTTTGCATGTT